GCAGAAGAATCCGGGCAGAATGTGGGGCAGAGCATGTGAGCCTGCCAATGGAGCTGTAATAAATAAATCATGGCACCAAAGCAATCAGAGCTGCCCACTCAGCTGCTTGGGATGCGGTGCCCACACAGGGGATTTGCAGCTGTACCTCCCCGGCCATTGGGTCCACAGCCCAAGTGCTGCTCCTCTGTTTGCAGCCGTGTTTTGCAGCCTCAGCACCGAGGGGGACTGATTTATTCATCAGCAGCTCCAGCCCGCACCATCCCTGCATGAAGGCCGTGACAAGCGGCAGCAGTGCGACGAGCAGCATGGCACGCAAGGCAGTGGGGCTGGCTGATCCCATGCTGCTGTGCCCAGGGGGTGAAGAGAAGGGAAATGTGAGGATCAGACCCTCACGGGGCTGCGCTGCATTAACGCATGTCCATCCTGCGCCCTTGCAGGGCAGAGAGGAGGGAACCTGTTTTCCAAAGGGAGTTCAGCAGTGCCAATGGCTGAACCAATTGCAAAGGCAGTGACAAGGGTCCTGGTCCCCATCCCTTTTGCTTGTCCTGCCCATCCAACCTCAGATTTTGGAGATCCCACAGTGCTTTGCCTGCTGGGGTGGTGCACCCAATACCCAACAGGCCCAGAGGACCCGTATCCCAGGTGGCACCCACACGACCTCATGGCCAGCAATGGACTTTGTCCCCATGGTGTGGGACAGCAGTCATGGGAGGGGGACACACCGAGTCTGGGGGAGCAAAGTGCTGGGCCCTGGTTGGGGGTAGATACTGAGTGGGGAATTGCTGTAGGAGATGGGGATCAGGAGGGATGGGTAAATACTGGGGGAAACTGGTGGGGATTAAGGACAGGAACTGGGCGTACTGAGGGGCACGGGGGGGGTAGCAGCGGTGCTGCTGGGGAGGATTGATGGGCACCAGGGGCATGGCCGGGTAATGAGAGGAAAGGAGAGGTGGGCACTGCTGGGGGGGGTGACTACGTACTGGGATGCAATTGCCGGGAGCGACTCCCGGTGCCCGGGGGGGCAACTACCGGGTACCGAGAGGGTAATCGCCAGGAGCGGGGGGCTGCTGCCGGGGGCACGGGGCGGGCCGGAGGCGGGCGCGGAGCCGGCCCCGCCCGGGAGGCCGTGCGGCGGAGGGGGAGCCAGCACCGGGCCCCCCCGTACCGCTAGGGCTCCCGCCTCCCTTCCGGCGGCGGTTCCTTCTTCCCTACGCCGGGGGCGGACGGGGCGGACCGGAGCCGCACCGCACCGCGCCGCGCCGCGCCGAGCCGAGCCAGGTGGGTGCGGGGCCGGGAGCGGGGCCGGGGCCAGGGGCGGGCCCGCCGTGCCGCAGAGCTCGGGGAGGGGCGGCCGGGGCCCGGCGGGCGGTTCGGGCACGGGGACCGGCCCGCCGAGCCTCCCGGGGCCGCCGGCTTATGTAACGGGGCGGCGGCCGCGGGGCTGCGGCATGCGGGCAGCGGGAAGCGGGATGCGGAGTGCGGGATGCGGAGTGCGAGAGGCGGGATGCGGGTTGCGGGCTGAGCGCTGCTCCCACCGGGTGCCCCCCCACGCCGCCCCGCACGCCTGGGTAGGGGCCGCGGGTGCGGTGCGTGAGCAGGGAAGGGCTGTGACCGCCGGGGTGTCACCCCCCAGGTCTGTACTGCGGAGGGGGGGCTGCAGAGCGGGGCCGTGGGCAAGAAGAGGAGGCCACCTGCTCCCTCCTCTGCTCGTTCCCGAGGATGCTCCTCGCAGCCTCCTGCCGGGGGCAGCTCCTGGTACCCTGCCGGGCTCTTACCGTGCCTCCCCCTCACCACCTTTCTCTCCATCCTGCCCCCCTCGGCTGCACCAACCCCTCTTGGGCCATCCCCATTGCATGTTCCCGAGGTGCCATTCTGCTGCGCCAACCCTCCGGGGGTCCCAGCACCCCGAACTCCATCCCCTCTCCTTGCAGTGTCCCCAGCAGCACACGGGGTAGGTGGCTGCTGTGACCCAGGCCTGGCAACATGCAGTGGCAGTGTCACCCACATGGCAGGAGCATGACCGGGCAGCTGCTGCCCCAGGCACCGGCGTGGTGATTCAGAGCAGCAGAGCAGGGCTGGCGCCTTCGTTCAGAACAGGACTGATGGCTCAGGGCTTCTCTACAAAGCTGGAGAAGATGTGAGAGCTCAGCTGAGATAAAACTGGCACAGAAAAATGTCCCTTGGCTGTGGGCTGAGTGTTTGCTTCTTCGATTGCCTTGCGTGAGAACATTAGTGTTGAAATGACCCCAACCAGACAAAGTGCTTAGCACCTTGCAGTGCTGGAGGGTGGCTGCGCTTCACACTTTGGCTCATTCCTGGGTTTCAGCACTGCCTACTGGCAGGCAGAGCCTGCCAGGCCTGGTGCCACGCATCAGGAGCCCTTTGGGGACCTGCACTGAGTTTCCCATCATGATTTTAGCACATGAGCTGAAACCCAGGAGAGGTTGGACACCACCCTCTGTCTGTAGAGAACCCTCTGCTGGGCACCCGTGTGCCCCACTCAGATCAGCAGCAGGTGACACAGTGCCGTCCCCACTGAGGAGCCCAGCTGTCCCATCTGGGCAGAGGACAGCACAGCCAACCTCAGTCTATGTTCCTGGCCAGACCTTCCCATTTGTTCTTCTGCCAGCATCGACCATGAGTTTAAATGCTCCTGCTCCCTCCCTGGTGTTTACTCGCCGGGTGTATTTATAGAGAGCAATCAGGTTGCTCAGCCAGAGTAAACAGCCGTGCTCTCACATGAGCGCTCCACTCGCCCATCCCAGGAGCTTTCCCTTCCACCTGCCCTGGCCCTGCAGAAGCTCCAGCCACACACTTCTCTGGGCTCTCTGGGCTGTGCTGCGTGTTCCAGGTTGCACTCCCCAGGAGTCACTGTCACCTCACCGTGCTGCATGTGCTCTATCCTGCCACCAGCCCCATTCCTGGCCAACTGTTGCCGTCATCTCCTGGAAAAATAACCCTCCAGTGCTCAGAATCACCCATCACCACAGCCCTGCAGCAGTGGTACCCATGCCTGCCCTGGCTCACGGACAGGAGATTTTGAGGGCCGAAGGTTTGGTTCAGATGCAGCCCTCTGCATCCTTGCGGGCAGGGAGGGCACTGCTACCCCAAGTCTGTTGTGAAGGCATTTCCCCAAAGTGCAGAGGTCCTGTGCCTTCCCACCTCAACACACAGTACCTGGGCATGAGGCTGCTGCCAGCCCCAAGCAGCTCACACAGGTGCTCCTTTGGCTCCATCCCATGCACCCCTCTTCTCTCCATCCCTAAGCTGCCCTCTGGCATCTCAGAGGCTGGACAAGACTGGCTATTATCATGGGGTGCTGTGAATAGGAGGTGGTTTTGTCTCCATCACTACCTCTGCCCCACATATTGTGGCCCTACCCTGGGCTGGGTAAAAACAGCCCCTCCAGCTCCAAGTACACTGCAGCCCCAAGCCAGGGCTGTCCTGCCACAATCGCATCCTCCTTCCCTTTACCTCATCTCTGCCTTGGCTGTGGTTGGCATTTGACTGCCTGGACAGACAGATTCATGGACAGCCAGAGCTGTTGCCTGTCCCCATTTGTCCAAGTAAGATATGGCTCTGTGATCCTGGCCAGCTCTGCTTGTTAAAAAGACAGACAAAAATCAAAATAAAAGAAAAGAAAATAATAAATAAATATCAGCCACATCGATCTGGCCCCAAAATCAGTGCCTTGTGATGACCCAGCCGGTATTGCCCCCAATACCCTCCGAGGACTGAATTTCCCCACGTCTCCGTGCAGGCAGTGCCCAGCTCTGGCCACGCTCCGGGGCTTCAGCAAAGAACAGCAGCTGATCTGCACCACAGAACACAGCCGGCACAGCAGGGTCTGATACTATCCCAGCGCAGCTCCTCTCGCTGGCACTGAGCTGCCCATAAACCCAGCTGCCCCCAGCCTTGGCGCTCTGCATCCCATCCCACCCGGCTCCGACTCTTCCCACATCCCGCAGGAGGCAGCGCTTGTCCCCAGCAAAGGTCACCTTCACGCTGCCGCCGAGCCTTTCCCAGGCTGAAGCTCAGCGCTGTGCTTCCCGGAGACACAGCTGCCTTTCAGGGGTCTCCGTGGGGATCCCACCAGAGTGTGAACAGCTGACTGCCCGCCTGCTGCTGCTTACCAGACTCAGCACTGTATCCCCCAACCCAGCACTGCATCCCCAAACCCGGCTTCACGTCCCCCAGCCCAGCACTCTCTCCCTGAGTCTGTCTCCCCCCCTTCTCCCCTGGGCCATTATTTACCTACAATTTGCCAAATACCCCCTGCTTCCTGGGGTGCAGGAAAGGAGGTGGCTCTGCGCTAGGACAAATTTGTGACACCCCCAGGAACCTGATTCCTGCATCCCACGGCCCATATCGCACGCATGGCACGCACCAGGGTGGAACTATGGGGACAGATCACTCGGAGACGATGCCCAGGTCTCTGCACAGCCTCATCCCCAAGAGAATCCCCTGAGCCCCCCCAGCACAATGGGGGCACTTCAAGGACATTCAGCAAAGGGACAAGGAGAACCCCAGGCAGAAGCTTTTCAAAGTTAGGCTGAAGTTGAGCTCCGAGAGGAGGATCTCTCAGACTGCAGCCTTTGTTTGGGGCTTTGTTTGCCTGCTCACTTTAACTCGCCATTATGTCCTCTGAAGAAGAAATTCATCACTTGAAAACTGAGGAATGCAGAGTTAATGCCAATTTTTAAAACCCTCCAAGAGTTGAGAGCCCTCTCAATAATTAATGAAGGCATCCAAACTGCCGGGTGTCTGTCTGCAGCTCGGCCAGCAGCAGCCGTATCCTTGGTCCAAGAGGGGCACAGACCCCACGCTGCCACCTCCCTGCCCACCCTGGGGTGGCTCAGTTAGTGCATCACTCCCTTGCTATCAGGGAGCTTGGTATCAGGGGCGGTGCGATACCCCGTCCTTTTGCCCTCTGCCCCAGCACCCTGTGCCTTAGGGGGTTGCTCCCCATCACTGACCCTTTTGCCATGGTGTCTCTGCAGGCCCGCCCTCCTGCGATGCCCACCCGCCCCCGGCAGCCCCTCGCAGCGCTGCTTTAGGTGCTGAAGGCCACGGACGCTGCGCACACCAAGGTAGGCTCTGGCTCTGGCTCTGGCTCTGGCTCTGGCTCTGGCTCTGGCAGGGCTCGGTTTGGGTGAATGTGAGGCATGGAGCTGGCGGTGATGTTGCAGGTGGTGCAGGGACACAGGGGCAGGTTTTTTTCGGTTTATTTTTCCTTTTTTCACTTTTTTTTTTTTTTTTTTTTTCTCCCTCTGAAAGCCCCCAGATGGGCAAGGTATGAGCCAAACTCCACTGGCAGCAGCCAAGAATGGTTTTCTGGCCACAGCCCCAGCAGCTCTTGGAGTGGCACCATGCCCATCCGGCGTCACACTGCAGCGGAAACCCCGCGCGCAGGCGGGTTGGGGGCGGCTTCAGTGGGGGGAGATGGCAGCATCCCTCCTAGCTCCCCCTCAACACAGGGTCCCCCACTCCCAGTGCTCCCAGCATGGTTCTCATCCTGCTCCCACCATGCTGCAGCCACCCAGATGTCCCCCCTGCCGCCACTGAGCCCCCCAGCATGCAGCCATCTGCTGCTGTCAGAGGTCAAGGTGTCCCTGGTTCCGTGGGGCACCTCTGCCCCCAGAGCTCTCCCATGGTGGGGTGGCCCTCCCAGGAGGGAAGGATCTCACCTTCCTTGGCACATGGTTGCTCTCACTCCAGCAATGAGCCTGGGAGAGGAGCTTGGGGGACACCGAGAATCCTCTCCTTGCACAGCCCTGGCCTCCTCCACCACCAACGTTGGCTCTGGATGGCTCCTGCCAGGGCCACGGGGATGGTAAATCAGGATGGTAGATCAGTTCAATGGGGTAGCTGCTCCCCCCAAAGGCAATTGCTGGGGCAAGGAGCGATGGGGTGAGGATATGGGCTGCATGGGGGCTTTTGTCCGCTGCCCACGCGGTGCCGGGTGCACTGCGCCCAGCTCCATGCCAGCCCCTGCAGAGCTGTGCAGTGTGCGTGCCTGCCATAAATATTGATGGGGCGGACGCGGTGCAAGTGTGCCTTTATGCACAGTGCTCGGGATGTGCATGCTGTACGAACCGGGGGAAGCGGTGCGGGTGCAACACTGAGGCTGGATGCACAGAGGCTGTATAGGGGAGGTGGAATTCAGAGTGCGGTGGGAAGGAACTAGGTGTAAAGCCCCGGTGGTCAGAAAGCAGCAAAGCAAAACCTGCTGCCAGACTGCAGTGAGCGGCAGCTGCTCCCCCAGCCCACTAACATGCAGCCCGTGCAAGATGAGCGGCGAGGGGCTGCAGTGCCGCTGCTTAACCATGCACAGCACAGAGGCAGCGGCCGCACAATGCTCTGAGAGCTGCTGCTGCAGTGCACAGCCAGGAGGGTGCTGGTGTCCCTGACATGGGCAGGGCTGTAGGTGGCAGAGTCATGGGGCTGTGGTGGCTGTCAGCCCTGGGAAGGGTAGCAAGCAGAGCTCGAGCACAGGGGACGTCCATCCCCCACATGGCTCTTGCACAGGCCACCTTTTAGGGCAGCTCAGGAGGGCAGAGCAGCTGCACCCCTGGGACACTGTGCTGGGAGCAGCTGGAGGCTGCAACTTTGGTCCTCTCCTCACCCACAGCTCCTTTGGCCACCGCTGCCCCATCCCACAGCCAGCACCAGTGCACACACAGCTCCTGCACGCGGCCCCCGGGGGATGTGAACGTCCCTCATTGCGTGCGATGCCGCGATCGGCCCCGCCAACCATCTGCTGCAGCATCTCCCCTCCACCCACTCGCAGCTCACGCTGTGCCCTGTGGCATGGAACCGGTGGCACCTGGAGCACCCAGCAGCAGGCAGGGCCGGGCTGGGGGTGCCCCGTGCTCCCCTGGGTGACCTGCATTAGCAATGCCAAGGGGCTGCGATAGCGATGCAGCCAACTCTGCAATATTGATGCTGATGGGTTTGAGGCTGGAAAGCAGGGAACAGGAGCACGGTGTGGTGGTGACCCTGTGACCCTCTCCACGTGTAACCACCAGGTTGGCAGGGCTGCCCCTGCCCTCTGCATGCCCCAAACCGCACTCAGATGCTGCACTACGAGGGTCAGCTCCAACCCCATGCTGCAGCATGCGTGGTCCTGTCCCTGTCCCCGGCCCTGTCCCTGCCAGGTGCCAGCCCCGAGGAGGCCAGGACCACTCTGCAGAGCTGCAGCTGCCGCTGCTTTGTGCCTCCTCTCCCCCGTTCCCCGCCGCTGTTTTTGTTTTGTTTAAGAGGCCGGGTTACGAATTTTAAACAGGCTCCTGAAAAACCCAATTACCTCCAGAAGACAACCTGATAAAAGCCGCCCAGCCAGCACGCTGCGCATCGCCTCGCGCTGCAGCCGAGGGAAAACCGACGTAACAAAGCCTTTGCAAATGGAGTTAACCACTTTTAATCCCTCGGTGCCACTCAGAGGGCCAAGCGGTTTTTTTCTGCAGAGATGGGGGTGGGGGGAGCATAAATAACCCTAGGGCACCGCGCTGCTGGGGGGCAGTCCCAGAGCTGCGACTGGGAGCAGTCCCTGGGCGCACTGGGAGCTGCTGGGGGGAGGATGCGCTCAATGAGCTGAAGCATCTCCAAAGATTGAAAGACTCGAGGACCCATCCCAGGAACAAAAGGAGGCGTTTGTCAGGCGCTGAGAGACGGGCTCGTTAATTCCTCCTGGCTGTCACACTTATCTGTAATGAATTTGTGCTCCGCTGTATTATTTTTAATACAATAGGAGCGGTGCCGCCCGCCCACCGCCCGGCTGCCGGGAGCGCTGACGTCAGCATGCAGAGCGGGGTGCTGCAGGACGGACGGATGGATGGATGGACCAAGGCCTGTCCCAGCACTCACAGCAGGGTTAGGCGCTGAGGCAGAGGGCATTTTTTCCGTGATGGAGGAAAACAGTGCGGTTGGTCAGCGTGGGAAGAGGTGGAGGGCGCAGGGAGCAGTGAGCAGGAGGGATGTGTGCTGGAGTGCTTTCCCTGTACCAAGGCTGTGCAGTGCGTGGCAGCAGAAGGGCAGACATGGGGGTTCCCCCAGCGCTGTGTGCCCCACAGAGGGGCTGTTTCTGTGAGCATCCGTGCAGGACTGCAGGGCCTCACCTCACCGCCAGCTGTCCCCACAGCCAGGCTCAGAATCCCACTGATCTGCAAAGAGCTCGTTCCCTTCCTGATAACCCAGGGCTGGATGGATGGGGCATCAGCTCTGCGGGCAGTGGGACATTCACATGGCCCTGACATCTGCACACCCTGAGCTCTGCCCCAGCCATGGGAGTACGGGGGCCACAAGGTCACTGCGCGTCCCCAGCATCTCCAGGGGAGTCAGTGCTACAAAATGTGGGGCTGGGAGCTCTGTGTGGCTGCGCAGGCCACAGCGATGTATCGGGGACTTTGAGAAGTCCCGCGGCACCCCACAGCTCTACAATTAGTCACGGTGGGGTCATTAAGGCCTGGCAGGTGTGCAGAGGCTCAGGTGCGCGGTGCTGAAGGGGTCGGCTCGTTTGGTGCGGGATGCAGGGACGGCTGGTGGTGGCTGCGGCTAGGAAGTGCCTGGCTTTTCCACGGATTGCGGAGGTGAAGCATTAACAGACGCCGGGGGGCTGCTCCCCCCATCTCTTCGCTGCGGGATCGGGTGGTCCCGGCGGGGGCGGCGTTTCCCCGGGGGCGCCGCTCTCGGTGGATGGGGGGTGCCGTAGTCCGTTCTTTTCCCCTCTTCCGGGACCGAGAGCGGAGCGGGGCTGGGGGTGTCGCCCCGGGCGGGCCTACGCGTGCGGCGCGGGGCGGGCGGAGGGCGGGCCGCGGCGGGGCGGGGCGGGGCGGGGCGGGCGGAGCGGCGGCGGCCGAGAGCGGCGGCGGAGCCGGTGAGTGCCGGTGCTGAAGGGACAGCGCCGCCGCTGCGGCACCGGGCGGGGCGAACCGCATTCACCGGGGGAGGAGTGGGCGGGAGGGGGGGTCCCGCGGTCCCCCGGCGGTGCCGCGTCCCCGTGTCCCCTGCGGCCGCGGTGCGTCCTCCCCCCCGTCCCGTGTCCTCCGTGTCCCCGCGCTCCCGCACCCGCTGTGTTCCCCGCATGTCGCGTTCTTCCCTTCAACGCGTCCTCCGTGTCCGCGCGCCCCCCGCGCGCCCCAACATCCCGCGGTGCCCCCGCGCTCTCCATCCCGTGGCGCCCGCGTCCCGCTCCCCGCGTTTTCCATATACCCTTTCCGTCCTCGGTGTCCCCTACGCACCCTCCCCTGAGCGCAGGAGGGAACAAACTTCCCCGGCGCCCCCCTCCCCCGGCTGGAGGGTGTCTCCCCATCGCCGGGAGTCCCGGGGAGCTGGGGGAGATCCTTGGGGCTGCGGCACCCATTGGGCACACGCACGCTGCAAAGTGCACACGCAACATCAGCACAGCCCTCGCCCACGCACAGGGCACGCAGGGCGCACACACACACACACAGAGCACTCCTACATGCACACGCAGTGCACACGCAGCCTGCAATCCCACCCGCGCACACGCAGCATGCCAGCAGCCTGCAACACCCCCACACACACAGCACAGGCTGCAAAGCAGTGCGCACACACCCCCCCATGCTATACACACACCCAGCATGCAGCCCACCGGTGTGCAAACACATTCACCCAGCACGCAAACGCAACCTGCACACCTGTACACACACGAGCGCATGCACACACAGCTTGTGAACCCACAAATCACATGCACAAACCTTGCAAGCAGCCTGCAACCCCCCGCTGCATGGCCACACACAGCTCCAACCCCATGAATCTGTACACATGCATACGGCCAGACATATACACAGCTCTGTGAATGCACCTCCTGTGCACACACAGCTGCACAGCTGTGCAAACATGCATGGAGCTCACAAACACAAACACACACGCCTGCAACCCCAAAGAACAGTCCCAACCAACCGGCAGCCTCTTCTCCACCCACCCGCAGAGCCCAAGCACTGCAACACACGCACATGCACACAGGGTCACATTGTGCTCCCCAGGCTGGCTCTGCCCCCACCATGCAGGGGGACGTGCTGGTGGCAATGCGGGTGCCTCTCCAGTGGTACTCAGTGCTCCCGTGCCCGTGCCACTCTGTGGCGGGCAGCAGCAGGCTGGGAAATCCACCCGAGGCCGAGTCCCTGTGTGCCAGGGCAGTGCGGACCCCAGGCTTGGCGTCCCCGACCGCGTCCCTCTCTCTGTGCCCAGGTGGCCCTGGTTGGAGAGCCCGGATAGCAGTGGATGAGCGCTGGGCACTGGCATAGCCACACGCACACACCGGCACCATGGACTTTGTTATGAAGCAAGCACTGGGCGGTGAGTGGGGAGCATCTCCACTGGGAGCTACACTGTGGGGTGACAACACACCCAGCATGGAGCCGGGGAGGGCCACCGCGGGGGAACAAACGGCTGCCAGAGCCCTACAGGGCTCCCGTCAGTGGTGCCGGCAGCGCCTGGCGGGGGAATCCCGGCTCTCCCGGTAGTGTGGGATTCCCCAGCAGGTCCCCTGGGTGCCAGTGCTTGAGCTGCCAGTGTCTCCCCCGGCTGACGCCGAAGTAGGGCAGTGCTGGCAGCCCGCGGCGCTCCCCATCCCTGCAGCACCCAGAGCCCAAGCACAGCCGGCTGTGGCGCAGGTGGCACAGGGGATCAGGGGACCCGGGCTATACTTGCAGGCTGGCTCCCTGCCCAGTTTGGCTTTGTGGAAGCTGAGGCCCCCTGGGCACTGTCTGAGAGTATCATGCTATGCAGGGGCCACCAAGGACATGGGCAAGATGCTGGGGGGCGAGGAGGAGAAGGACCCTGATGCGCAGAAGAAGGAAGAGGAGAGGCAGGAAGCATTGCGCCAGCAGGAGGAGGAGCGGAAAGCCAAGCACGCCCGCATGGAGGCTGAGCGGGAGAAAGTCCGGCAGCAGATCCGTGACAAGGTGGGCAAGCAGCTCCCCATGCTGCTGGGGGGATGGGAGTAAGAGGTGACGGGTGTCGGGTACAGCACGGGCACTGTGTGCTGCCCGCCCCACTTAGGGCCTGTGTCCCCTCAGTATGGGCTGAAGAAAAAGGAGGAGAAGGAGGCAGAGGAGAAGGCAGCGCTGGAGCAGCCATGTGAGGGCAGCCTGACGCGCCCCAAGAAAGCGATCCCTGCGGGCTGCGGGGACGAGGAGGAAGAGGAGGAGGAGAGCATCCTGGACACCGTGCTCAAGTACCTGCCCGGCCCGCTGCAGGATATGTTCAAGAAGTAACAACACCACCGACCCTGCCATGGGGTTCTGGGGCACGGGCGCCCTCCTCTCTCCCTCCCCTCCATCAGTTCCCTTGGCCCCAGGGGGGTCCCTGCATCCCCTCTCCATCTTCTGCCCCTCCCTTGTCCCCTAACCAGACCAAACCATCCCATCCTGTCCAGGCAGGGCCCCCTGACCACGCCGTGCCAAAGGGGAGCGTCCCTGGCCGGACAGGGCGAACCGGGACCAAATGCACTGATGTAACCTGGCAGTGGGCTGGGGGCACCCCACGCCCCACCGGACCCCGGGGCAGCTCCCCGTGCCCTCAGCCCTGCCCTTCTGCCCACACCCTCCCCTCACCCATCTGCCAGGGGGCCCGGGCAGGCCCTCCGTGTGCCCGCCCTTGTCCCCAGCACTGCCATCCCCAGCCCCATCCTGCCCCGGGCCAAGCCCAAAGCACAAAGCCAGGCGCCCTGCCCGCAGCTCCCCCATCCCTGATCCCCGGGCACGGGGGTCCCCCGGGGCTGCCCGGTGTGCCGCAGCATCGGGGGGTTGGAGGGGACCCCCTTCCCGCATCTCTGGCCCCATAGTTAAAGCCATATCAGTTAGACTGCAATACTTCAGCACCGGGAGGAGCAGGCGCCGCGCTCCGCCGACCGTGTATAAAGGCGCGTGCGGGGCAGGGACCCCCCCTGCCTCGTCCCCCTGCCCCGTCCCCACTGTCCCCACCGCTCGCTCGTCCGTGTCTCGGCCCCGCTGGCCCCCGTTCTCGCATTAGTGTCTGTGTGCCAGGGTGCGCCCCGTTGCTCCATGCGTCCTCGTGTCCGCTGCTCACGCCTCAAACCCCAAAGCCCCGCAGTCCCCGGGGCCGCCCGCAGCGCTGAGCCGAGAGCCCCGTGCCCGTGGGTTGCAATAAACCCAGTACGGGGCTGGGGGCTGCAGAGCGTCTCCCGGGCTGCCCCCCCCGGCGCTGGGCACACAGCTCCCATGGGCTAAGCTGCCCGGGTACATCCCAGGAGCTGCTGCTTGCGTCCCAACAGGGGGCACGCCATCGCCCCGGCCCGTCCCTTGCCGTACCGTGCTCCTGTCCTCCCTACCCCCATGCTTCCCCCGCCACAGCCCCCAGCCGCTCAGCCCAGCCCTTCCAGGGAGGCAGAGGGCAGCTCGGGGCTTCGCAGTCATGCTGTGACCATCCTGCTCGAACTAGTCTTTGACAAACTAATAAAATAAAGGGATTTGTACATTGCTCTGGCCTTTTCTCAGCCCTTACTTCCCTGTCACCTTCCCCACCGCTCCATCTCCCCCCAGGGCTGAGACCTGGCCACTCAACGCACTACCGGAGGGCACAGGGTTCATCCTCAGCCTGCATGGCACCCAGAAGCCAGGCCACGGGTGAAGGGAAAATCTCCATAGTTCCCCAGTGCTGTCCTCAGCCCAGCTGCCTCCTGTTCCCCAGCGCCCTCAATGGAGCTGGGACAAGGCAAAAGGGTTCTGCAGCCCATCCTGCAGACCCATGGGTAGGGGGGCCCCTTCCCCATGGCTCTGGGACTTCCCCCATAATAACTGGAGTCACCCACAGGGTGCAACGGCTCTTTTTCCAGACACAGCCTTCTGGGGCTGAGGCTGGAGGTACCTCAATCCCAGTTCCCCCCAAAATAGGGGCAGATGCCAGGGGTACACACCAAGCAAGGGGTGCCTCACACCCCTCAGCCAAGCACAGCCCCTGGCGCTGCAGTCCTGATGCAGCACAGCTCGGAAGGGCTCTGCCTGCAGCCAGCCTCAGCTTCGACTGATTTGCCATCATTTAACAGCAAAAAGCTCAGCTGTTACCCAGGCGGCATCAGCAGCGCAGTCACCTGGAAAAGCCTCTGTCAGAAGGAAATATTAGGCTAAGAAATGATAGAGATCGTGCGGGCAAGGTCTCCATCACAGGCAGGTTGCGCCAGCACCTCCTCTCCAGCGAGTGCCTGCAACGTGACCCAGCGCACGGTGGGGAAGAGCCCCACTCTGCTCCCCTGGGGGCAGGGAGGCACAGGGACAGCTCAGCCTTAGGCCAGCAGCCGTGGGTCAAGCAGGTGTCTTCTGCTGCCACCACGGCCCTGCTCCATTCGTGTGGGTGCTGCTAGCTGGAGCAGGGAGGGCAGGGCTGGGTTATGGGATGGGGACAGTTGTGCGTGACTGTCCCCATCCTCTGAGCAGCATCCCTTCAGAATCTTGTCCCCAGTGTGGGGGCACAGCGCCCTCTGGTGGGGCGACACGAGACGGGGACGAGGCCTCAACACGGACCCCTGCCAGTGGGGCTGACCCACTGCCACACCGTGCTGGCAGTGGAAGCAGCCGCTCAGCACCACGCTCCTTTCCCTGCTCATCTCCTCCTGCTCTCACAGCAGCTCCAGGAACCTTCGTTATGGAAGAGGATTTATCAAAATTATAAAAACAACCACAAATACAAAAAAAATGCCACAGCCCGGGTGCATGCCCCCACACCCTCCCCTTACTGCCCCTCTGATCCTCTGCACAGGAAAGGGACAGGCCATGCTCCAGGGCTGCCCTCATCACCAGGCTGTGGGGGAGGACGGAAGGGACAATCACATAGCTCACTGCTGCTGGGGAGCCTGCCGCTGGAGCTTCCACACTGCTGCCCTAGAGCAGCGTTCTCATCTCAGGAGGCCCCTTCAGCAGTCACATTCCATGATTTTCTTTGGCCGCTTGCCTTTGGAACAGACCTTCCATGCCCCAGGGATGAGGCAGCCCTGAAATGGTGCGGGAGCCCTGCTGGCACCCCCCATCCTCACCAGCACACGAGCTGCTTTTTACAAAAGCTCCTGAGAGCAGCACACGTGGAACTGAGACAAAGGTGATGGCAATGCCAAGCAGGTAAGGAGAGGACCGACATCCTTACCCCGTCCTATGCTAACTAAGCTCTCCTCCATCCCTGAGGGTGGGGAAGTGTCGCGGTCCCTGGTGCCCTGCCCTGCTGCAGTTCCATTAGGAGTCATTGGGGAGCCCGAAGAGCTTGACAGTGCCTGCTTCTCGGCTGCTGTCGTATTTGCCATCTTTGTCGTCACAGGCGAAAGCCAGCAGAGGCTTCTTCGGGTGCCAGGCCACTGTGAAGGTAGGGGACTCGCACTGCACCTCCCAGAGCTTCTCTCCTGCATAGAAAAGGGCCCACATCAGCCTGGAGAGCCTCCTGCTCTCCACTGCAGGCTGACCTGTAGCACAAAGCAGAGCTAAACACCTGCCTCTTCCCTCCCACGCAGGGCAGAGGAGGAACAAATGCTGCTCCAGCGCCTTTTAATCTCCTGGTGACAAGGCATAGACATGACATGCATATCTACAGCAGTCTGATGAGGCAGAGGCTCCCCCTCTTGGTGCTCTGCTGCACACAGCCAAGCTCTTGGTAAGTAAACTGCCTCTTCCAGTGCCCTCCCAGCTAAACCAGCGCATCTCCATCAGATTCCCTCGTTACTGCTCCCCAAAAGCAAACCATTACCTGTCTCCACCTCTGCAATGTCAATGAAGTGATCCTCTGATGCCGATGCCAGCATCTTCCCATCATGGCTAAAGCTCAGTGTTCGCACAGGCCAGTCAAGCCTGCAGCAGTAGAGCAAAGCAGACAGTGAGGGATCCCCCAGACAGTCACTGGGGAGGGGAGCAAACTCCAGGACAGCACTACCTACCTGGAGAAGCACCTCACACACACCAGTTCATCCACATCCCAGAGGCTGACTAAAGCATCAGCACTGCCTGTGGCAAAGTACTTCCCCATGGGGTCAAACTTGATGCAGATGCAGTTTGAAGGATGGGCATTGATGGACTGGATGGGTTTGAGTTCTGGGTAGCTGTGGAGATGAAGAGAGAAGGCAGGAAGCAGTGAGAGAAGCACAGGATCTCTGTGAAAAGAGACCAGGTGTGAGACAAAACAGTGCAGGGTGACATTGTTGGAAACTTTAAGTGTTAAGTGAACAAGGAAAAGCATCACAGTCACATACAGAGAGTCCAGCCCAGGAATGGGGCAACTTCCTTCCAGGCAAGCTTGCTCCCATCGTAGTGACTGGGAATCACTGGGATGTGGGACTCTGGCTCCCCAGAAGCAGCAGAGGGGTTTGCAATCTGCCTCAGCAAGCAGCGATGCACCAGGGCAGCCAGCCTTGGTACCCTACTCACCACAGGCACCCACCTGAGGATGTTGATGCAGCCATTCCCATTAGTGAGGAAGAACATGTTGTTATCGTTGTTCCAGGAGATCTCATTCACCTCAAACTTGAACTGTTCCTCTGCTTTGGAGCGATGCGTCTTTGCGTCAATGAAGGTGACAACATCATCCTTGTTCCCCACTGCAATGGTCTGTCCATCAGGGCTCCAACAGATGTTGATGTTCTCCCCTAGAGGGACAGAAAAGCAGCAGGTCCCATTGCCACACAGCAGTTTGCAAGAGCCACAGCGTATCAAGCAGACAGGAGGCTTTTATTTCTGATTCGAGGCCACGGTGTGCTCCACTAACTCTGAATCACTCCCAGATGGGAAGAACTGCCAGGTCTGCAATTTAACACTGAAACTCTGCACTGAAAATTAAACTGAGAACTGTAGCTTCAAGCCACTAGGACTGCATTGCTAGCCTTTCCATTTTAGACACAGCAACCACCAAGCAAGGTCATATCGAAAGACCCTCTCAACCCAGCAGTATCCAGAAAATCCAACAACCAACAGCACGTGCGTGTGAACGAGGGGAGGCCCAAGGAATGCTACAGATATGTCACCTTACTACTCTACTCTCAACCCCAACTGTTGGAAGACAGAGATTTCTTAGGCCAGAGATGGTAGCTGGGCTGGTCAAACCATTAATGTGAATGGTTGCTTTATGAATCCATGTAAACTTGGACCTCTGCCACGTCTCTCTCTGCAAACACACGTTCCCCAGCCTCCAACCTTCTTGCCCACAGACTCCAGACAAGTTCCCATGGCCCTTTAACAGCCACCAGCACAGCTCAGCAGTGCCTCCAGTCCTGACACCAGCATAAAGCAGCCCTCGTGCTCGCTGTGCTCCTTACACCAGCTGAAGCTGGCTGAGTGCGATACAACACTAGAAGCAGTACGCAAAGACCCCTCAATCACCAGCACCAATGGAAGGGCTGTGTCACCGACCCCCGGGGAGGCAGGGACCCACCTTTGGTGTTGACGGTGGCGATGCACTTGGTGGTGCGGACATCCCAGATGCGGATGGTTTTGTCCCCGGACGCAGTGACAAAGAGGTCGGGGTTGCTGGGATGCCAGCAGAGCTGATCCACGCTGTCACCGTGGCCGCGGTAGTTGTTCTCTTTTACCTGGAGAAAGAAGAGAGCCGTGCCTCCACCCCTGGAGGTGCCCAAGGCCACGGATGGAGCCCCGGGCAGCTCGAACGAGGAGGTGGCGGCCAGCCTACGGCAGGGCTCCGGGGCTTTTCTGGGCCCTTCCAACGCAGCCGTTCCATCACTCAGCGGTGCCGGCTGGCAGTCCTGCCCAGCATCCCGCTCCCATTTCCGTCTCTCCTTCCAGTTTCCTCGCCCGGTCCCAACTCCCAGCTCCCAACTCCCAGCTCCCAACTTCCAGCTCCCAGCCCCACCACACCCGCTCCTCGCCCGGCGCAGCCCGCAGCCCCAAGCGCTGCTCCCGGCCCGCTCCCGCTGCTCACCAGCCGGTCCTTCTCAAGCAGGAAGACGCTCGCGGTTTTATCGAAGGATCCGGACGCGAGGCGGCGGCCGCAGCAGCTCCAGGCCACGGAGTGAACCTTGGCGCCGTGCGCCGGGAACTCGCGGCTGCGCGTGTTGGCGCGGAACAGCTCCTGCATGGCCTGCACGTAGGGCGACAGCGCCATGCCCGCCCCGCCGCGCCGCCACCGCCCGCCCCGCCCCGCCGCCCTGACGCAGCTTCCGCCGCCGCGGCACGGCCCGGCTCGGCCCGCGGAGGGCGCCCTCGGCGGCGATGTCGGACGGCGCCGTCCTCGTCGGCGATTCGGACTCGGAGGGCGGCCGCTCCCCTCCGCCGCCCCCCGCGGTGAGTCTGCGGCCGGGCGCCCCGCTCCCGCACGGAGCGCTGCGGTTCTGCCCTGTCCTCGGGCTTTTGCCGCGCGGAGTGCCGCTCTCCCGCCCTGTCCCTCGGGGCCGCAACCCCCGGCAGACCGGAGGGGGCAGAACGCGGGGCGGGGGGTTGCCGGGCGTCCGTCGGCCGCGGTTCCGCGGCAGTTGTTGCCCGGTAACGAGGGGACGC